ATGGCATATGTTTTGTTACATGTATATTCATCACAATAAAAAAGTCTAAGACTCATTCCCCTTCCACTCATAATTTTAAAAAATCGATATCCATCCATTCATCCTAGATTGTTTGTTTCTTAATAGAGAGGTACAAAGAAGGAAAAAAAGCAAAAATCTCCCTGTATTGTAATACCTGGTGTCATAAAAATAAAAGCAATACGTATGAAAGCTCAGAAAACCCAATGGTAGAGAATAGTATAAACTGAAAAGTGTTTCTCCATGCCTACAGCTGACCCTTTCCTCAAGAAACACCTGTTAAGATTTTGCATAATTCCTTCTGGAAAATAAGAATGATATAGTGATAAAAAAGACAATAGATAACATTCATTGAATGCCTACTATGTGTCTAGCACTATTCTGAGTCCTTTATGTATATCAAATTTTTTCATCCTTATAATGAAAGTAGTTACCACTTTTAATACCCAATTTACAGAGAAAGAAACTGAGGAACAGAAAAGTGAACTAATTTTCCCCAAGTGACATGCCTAGTAAGAGGGGAAGCAAGATTTGAACTCAGGAAGCCTGGATTCAGACTCTTAACTACATGCATCTAATTATGTACTTTTGTACCTAAAATATTAGATGTTTGGCATGTGTATGGTAGGAGGACAAAAATAGGCAACAACAAGATGGCAAGAAGCATGTATAGTCTAAGCAGTAGGGCCGTTTCCTCTATTCTGTGTCTTTCTGGAGGCTTTACCGCTGACATTGCCAGCACAAAATAATCTGAAAGCACATTTAAATTATATTTATAATAGCCATATGCTTCCCACCATATGAATTTTATTGTCACAATTCTGTCAGCAACATTATTACATAGCACACTTCCAAATATATGCCATTGAATACAGGAAACTTTAATAAGTCAGCTTTAAACTTAGGTCAAGCCTAAATTGCAGGTGTGCATGTGTTCAGTGTTTCACCTCATAAGCAAGACGTAAGGCACTAGGTAGGTGCCTCGTTGCCCCATGCAAAAGCTATCAAGTGCTACGGAAATTCCCAGGCACACAAAATTTTGGAAAGACCTTGACATGGTCACCATCCCATTCTGCATCACAAAGACCAGATGGCTAGTGAAAATAAGCTGGCCAGGCAGCCAAGCAATAAACATTCACTGAGGACCAATCATATCAAGAGCAGTGTGTTAGATGCCAAGGTGTCAACTGTGTGGTTGTCTGTCTTCAAGAGTTCATACCCAAATTCACAATCCACAGCTGCAAACAATGGTTCTCAGCCTCTAAGCTTCATTGACCCAGGTTCTATGTAGTTGCCTTCCAGGACAATAGAGGGGTAATGGGAAGGTTGAGCAGACCACAACTGATCCTCTCCTCCTACCCTGTTCCCCAGAGAAACCCTTTTTTGCCTGTTTATGTGCTGGCGGTCAGCATAACATTCCATTTTTACAAAATCTTTGACTGCTTAAAATTGCTTGAGAGTCATTTCCATTAAGGCGTTAGGGTTTAAAGTTTTACACACACACACACACACACACACACACACGCACACACACATATAGTCAATTCACCACCACTTATCTGTCAGTTTGTCGTACTGTGGTGGCTTGCATGTTGTTGTGATGATGGAAGCTATGCCACTGGTATTTCAAACACCAGCAGGGTCACCCATGGTGGACAGATTTCAGTGGGGTTCCCAGACTAAGACAGACTAGAAAGAAGGACCTGGCTGTCTACTTGTGAGAAATTTAGCCAATGTAAACCTTATGAATAGCAGTGGAACATTCTCTAATATAGTGCTAGAAGATGAGTTCCTTAGGTTGGAAGGCACTCAAAATGCTTCTGGGGAAGAGCTGCCCCCTCAGAGTACACTTGACCTTAATGACAAGGATGGAGTAAAGCTTTCAGGACCTTCATTTACTGATGTGGCACAACTCAAAATGAGAGGAAACAGCTGCAAATATCCATTAATAATCGGAACACGGAATGTACAATGTATGAATCCAGGACAATTGGAAGTTGTCAAAAATGAAATGGAGTGCATAAAGATCAATATTCTAGGCAATAGTGAGCTGAAATGGACTGGCATTGGCCATTTTGAGTCAGACAATCATATGGTCTACTATGTTGGGAATGACAAACTGAAGAGGAAGGGTGTCACAATCACCATTAAAAAGAACATTTCAAGATCTATTCTGAAGCACAATGCTGTCAGTGACAGGATAATATCCATATGCCTACAAGGAAGACCAATTAATACGACCATTATTAGACCAGATGGCTAATGAAAATCAGCTGGCCAGGCAGCCAAGCAATAAACATTCAGGCAACAACCACTAATGCCAAAGATGAGGAAATTGAAGATTTTTACCAACTTCTGCAGGCTGAAATTGATCAAACATGCAATCAGGATGCATTGATAACTGCTAGTGATTGGAATGTGAAAGCTGGAAATAAAAAAGAAGGATTGGTAGTTGGAAAATATGGCCTTGGTGACAGAAATGATGCCAGAGAGTGCATGATAGAATTTTGCAAGACCAACAACTTCTTCATTGTAAATACCTTTTTTCAATAACATAAATGGCAACTATACACGTGGACCTTGCCAGACGGAATACACAGTAATCGAATTGACTACATCTGTGGAAAGAGACAATGGAGTAGCTCAATATCATCAATCAGAACAGGGCCAGGGGCCGACTGCAGCAGAGCATCAATTGCTCGTATGCAAGTTCAGGCTGAAGCTGAAGAAAATTAGAACAAGTCTACGGAAGCCAAAGTACAAATTTGAATATGTCCCACCTGAATTTAGAGACCATCTCAAGAATATATTTGACACATTGAACACTAATGGCCAAAGACCAGACAAGTTGTGGAATGACATCAAGGACATTGTACATGAAGAAAGCAAGAGGCCATTAAAAAGCCAGAAAAGAAAGAAAAGACCAAAATCGATGTCAGAGGAGACTCTGAAACTTGCTCTTGAACATAGAGCAGCTAAAGCGAATGGAAAAAATGAGGAAGTAAAAGAGCTGAACAGAAGATTTCAAAGGGTGACTCGAGAAAACAAAGTAAAGTATTATAAAGAAATGTGCAAAGACCTGGAGTTAGAAAACCAAAAGGGAAGACATGCTCAGCATTTCTCAAGCTGAAAGAACTGAACAAAAAAATTCAAACCTTAAGTAGCAATATTGAAGGATTCTATAGACAAAATATTGAACAATTCAGGAAGCATCAAAGGAAGTTGGAAGAAATACACAGAGTCACTATACTAAAAAGAATTTGCCGATGTTTAACCATTTTAGGAGGTAGTATATGATCAAGAACCGGTAGTATTGAAATAAGAAGTCCAAGCTGCACTGAAGGCATTGGTGAAAAACAAGCCTCCAGGAACTGATGGACTACCAATTGAGATGTTTCAACAAACAAATGCAGTTCTGGAGGTGCTCACTTGTCTATGCCAAGAAATTTGGAAGACTGCTACCTGGCCAATGGACTGGAAGAAGTCTATATTTGTGCCCATTCCAAAGAAAGGTGATCCAACAGAATGTGGAAATTATTGAACAGTATCATTAATATCATACACAAGTAAAATTTTGCTGAAGTTCATTCAAAAGCAGTTGCAGCAGTACATTGACAGAGAACTTCCAGAAATTCAACCTCAATTTAGAAGAGGACGTGGAACGAGGGATATCATTGCTGATGTCAGATGGATCTTGGCCAAAAGCAGAGGATACCATAAAGATGTTTACCTGTATTTTATTGACTATGCAAATGCATTGGACTGTGTGGATCATACAAATTATGGATAACATTATGAGTAATGGGAATTACAGAACACTTAATTGTGCTCATGAGGAACCTGTACATAGTTCAAGAGGCAGTCATTCAAACAGAACAAGGGGATACTGTGTGGTTTAAAGTCAGGGAAGGTGTGTGTCAGGGTTGTATCCTTTCCCCATACTTATTCAATATGTATGCTGAGCAAATAATCCAAAAAGCCAACCTGTATGAAGAAGACTATGGCATCAGGATTGGAGGAAGACTCATTAACGATCTGTGATACACAGATGACACAACATTGCCTGTTGAAAGTTAAGAGGACTTTATGTATTTATTGATGATGATCAAAGACTACAGCCTGCAGTATAGATTACACCTCAACATAAAGAAAACAAAAATCTTCACAACTGGATCAATAAGCGACATCATGATAAATGGAGAAAAGTTTGAAGTGGTCAAGGATTTCATTTTACTTGGATCTACAATCAATGCCAATGGAGGCAGCAGTCAAGAAATCAAACAACATATTGCATTGGGCAAATCTGCTGCAAAAGTCTTCTTTAAAGTGTTAAAAAGCAAAGATGTCACTTTGAGGACTAAGGTGCACCTGACCCAAGGAATGGTATGTCCAATTACTTCATATGCACATTAAAATCGGACAATGAATAAGGAAGACTGAAGAAAAGTTGATGCATTCACATTATGGTGTTGGTGAAGAATAGTGAATATACCATGGACTGCCAGAAGAACGAACAAATCTGAATTGGAAGAAGTACAGCCAGAATGCTCCTTAGAAGGGAGGATGGTGAGACTTTGTCTCACATACTTTGGACATGTTATTAGGAGAGACTAGTCCCTGGAGAAGACCTTCAACAAGGTGGACTGACACAGTGGAGATGGTGCAGGGTCGGGCAGTGTTTCATTCTGTTGTACACAGGGTTGCCATGAGTTGGAGCAGACTGGATGGTACCTAACAACCACAACAAGAGTCAATTCTACCTTTACCTTCAGGTAATGAAACAGTCAGCTTGAATGAACACCTCATTTTATATTTAATTGTTTTTTTTTATTATGAAAGGTAGACCCCGATTGTTGAGGATTTAAAAATAGAGAGGCTTAAAAATTGTGGTATTAATTCCCAGAGACAATTACTGCTTACACTGTGCTGTATCTTCTTTTAGTTTTTATCCTATGCTGATCACGTATATAACTTATATTTTTATAAAGTGTGAAGCATACAAGAATTTGCATACCATCTTTGCACAGGTGCCATGCTAATCTTCCCATATTGTTCCGATCTGAGCACACAGACTGCTGAAGTAAGTACTGTACATACAATTTTGTATTATGTGTTTCATTTCCAGTTTCTATTATATTTTAACTTTGCCCACAGCAGGATTTCTTTTTGGTCTAAGTCCTCCAGGCCAAATCTAATTTGCTGTAGTTGCTACAGAAATTTCCAACAAAAAGTATTTTCAATCTAGGGGGAGGTGTGGTATTCTGTTTCCAAATCCCTAAAAGGAGAGACTTGTGCAAATTTGTCAAATCCATGATTTTATGATGATGCTGAGATGCAGATACATGTGACTGGATTTTAAATTCATGCTCCATTTCCTAGAGCACTTTCTAAAAAAGTAGAAGGGGATAAAGGCATTCTCATTATGGTGCTACTGCTCCTGCAATACAGTGCTTTAGGGTTTTATAACAGCTATATGATGGACAGAAACCTAAACTATGAAGCTAATTGAAAAATTTAAAGCCCATTTGCAAAGGCTAAATTTCAATTGCCCATCATTTTGTTATTTTACTCTTGTCCTTGTTCTTTAGATTTATGTATTCACATAAAAATAACCACACATAAAATATGCAACTAGAACTGATATTGTTTGCATGTCGTCTATATACTGAAAACATTTGAGGTTAAGACCAGATTAGTTTTCTTGTATTTGGAAATAAGGCAGTCCGTGTAAGAATCCATTTATGATTTGATGGGTGGTCTTGGATAAATCAGTATGAGGCGTAAATAAACCACTCTTTAAATCCTGCTAAACAAAAAAAAAAAAACAAAAAAACTAAGGAACAGCTAAATTAAGAATTTCATCTTTTCATTTTATAGTTCCACAGATGAGTCATTTAAATGACCTTTCATCCTAATGCATTTAAAATGATTACTACATTGAAAGGTTTTCATTCTATACCCCCACTTTTCCAACTGCGTGTTAAGTGAGTTCTCTGCACGGGTCAGAGAAAGCTCTGATAAATCAGTAGACTTAAACGAGATGCGATTACTCCAATGCTGAGTATTTATGGTACAGAAATATCACTTCTTCTCTTCCACAAATTTATTTTGGTGAGTTAAAGCAAAGTAGAGAAACAAAGTTTTGAAAATAAAATAAGATTCACTCATTCCACAAATATGTATTCAGTCTCTCACATGCCAGTTACAATGCTGGGAGCCTAGGGAGGAAGATAGGTAAGTCACACTCTCTGTCTTGGACTAGCTCACATGTGAGCAGGGTCTCAGTGTCATCTATAGAAGAGATATGAGACTCGGACCCAAGATGTATTCTGAGAAAAGGAAAAGAGTGGATGGGGCCAAGACTAGGACTTGTGTCTACAATATACAGGATGCAGTTCACTGAATTTGGCACCCCTGAGAGGCTAATCCATCATATTACAGCCTTTCTTGGTGAAAATTTATTATCTCAAAATAGCTGACCCCCGTGAGGCTTTTAGGGTTTTTCCCGTCTTTGGTTGAAGTTAAGATCTACTTCTAGGCTACCGTTTTGCATTCAAGATTCTTGACCTGCCCACCTCCATCAATTTAAATAAAATTATACCAGTCCTTGTTTTTAGGGCTATACATTCTCTATTAGAAGATAAAAAACATAAATATGCAAATATTTCCTGAAAATTCAAATATATGGTGTTTCATATTCTCTGAGACAAATGATATCATGACCTTTTGTAGAATATATAGGCAACACTTCTTTCAGTTTATGTATTCCCAGCTCATTTCAGCTCTTTACTTTCTACTATACTAAAAATACTTTAATTCAAATTGTACAAAATATAAATACTTTGACGGTTTGTTCCACTTTAGTCCATGTAGGTATGTCTTTTCATAATGACAGATTTTTAATCAGCCTTACAGAACTACAAACTATATGTAAGTAATGCAAGTGGTTCGTGTTTAGCTGCTAACTTAAAAGTTGGTGATTTGAACCCACACAGCTGCTCTGCAGGAGAAAAGCTTGGCAATCTGCTTCCATAAAGATTACAGCTAAGAAAACCCTACAGAGCCATTCTACTCAATAACACATGGGGTCACCATGAATTGAAATCAACTTAACAGCAATGGGTTTGTTTTGTTTTTTTCTATTAGTGTACCATTTCACTAAATATATACATCCCTCTAACCATCACCACAGACAATAGTTACAACATTTTCATCACCTCCCAAAGCTACTTTGCATCCTTTTGTAATACCATCCTCCCAGCCCTCTACCGCAGATAACCACTGATCTGCTTTCTGTTGTTACAGATTAGATTTCCTTTTTTTTTGCATCAGAAACTGTGCATTCTTTTATGTCTATCTTTTTTTTTGCTTAGCATAATATTTATCCATGTTGTTGCATATATCCGCATTCCAATATATATCCAATCCATATAGCCAATATATCCATGTTGTTGCATACATCAATAGTTCACTACTTTTTAATGCTGAGTCGAATTCCATTGTATGGATATATCACAATTTGTTTTTTCATTCACTCTTGATGGACATCTGGGTTGTTTCTAGGTTTTGGCTATTAAGAATAAAGTTGCTATGTGCATTCACGTACAAATATTTGTGTAGACATATATTTCCATTGATATTGAGTAAAACGCCTAGCAGTGGAATTGTTGGTTCATAGAGTGTGTATTTGATTAACTGCATAAAAAGCTGCCTGTTTTCCAAAGTGATTGCATCATTTTGCATTTCCATCAGCAGTGTATGAGAGCTCTAGTTGCTCCACATCTTTTCTAACTTTAGCCATTCTCATGAATGTATAAGTGGTATTTCATTGTGGTATGTAATCTGCATTTCCCTGACAATTAAGAGGCTGAACATTTTTTCATGTGCTTATTGGATATTCAGATTATCTTCTCTGGCAAAGTGTTTATTCAAATCTTTCACCCATTTGTATTGAATTTTCAGCTGCATTTAACAATATTGACTAGTCTTAGTTAAACCTTTTCTTTATTACGGAGAATTCAAACATGCTCAGAAGTAGAAAAAATTTCCATAATAAACCCATACGTATTCCTCAACCAACAGCAATAATTGTCAACATTTTGCCTGTCTATTCTTGAAACTTCATCTTGGCTTCCATGATAATTCATTTTTCCTGGTTTCCTTTGGAATTTCAACTCCTCTGCATAGTCGCAGTTTTCTTTGCTTATTCTCCCTGAAGTTTCTAGGGGAAGATCCTTTCTTGTCTCTCCCAGCTTCTGGTAGCCCCAGGTGTTCCTTGGCTTGCAGCTACAGCACAACTCCATTATCACATGGCTGTCTTCCCTCTGTGTGTCTCTCTGTGTCTCTTCTCTTTTATAAGAACACCACTCATATTGGATTAGGACCCACATACTCCAGTATGACCTCATAGTAACTTAGCCGACAACATCTTCAAAGATCCTGTTTCCAGACAAGGTCATGTTCACAGCTAACCCGGGTTAGAACTTTAACATATCTTTTTCAGGGGACACAATTCAATCCATAACGATGACTAACATGAAAATCTTTACCAAGAGGAAAGTCTGATGGATGCTACAAAGGGAGATGTGCCCCCTAACAGAGCCAACCCTCCAAGATCACTTATAGTATGGCAATGAGAATCACCAAGGGCTCCACAGCTGAGATTCATCCAGGCACATTAAGGCTGTGGCCAGTTCTATAAGTCTTACATTTCTGATTATCCTAAACTTCCCCTAGAGTTTCAAAAGTTGGGTATTGTTCTGGATTTCTGGAACAGTAGGAATCTCTGATGTATTAGAAAACTCAAGTCTCTCCTTGGCTTTCAAAATTGGAACCCAGTAAGTTTATCCTTTATTCTGGGAAAACTGATTCTCAGAACCCTGGTGGCCTGTATTTTATTCATTTCTTTCCGCAAATATTTGTTCAAATGTACAGTATCCCAGGCATTGTGTTAGAAATGCAAGAAATATTCAGATACCATGGATCACATCTTTTAGTTTATTGTTAGTGAAACAGCATGCATGTTGAGAACAGGGTTATCTTATTCAGTCCCTTGTTCTCAGTGCTGGCAACCAGGTATTTTAATAAATGTAGTTAAATAAGTGTTTAATAAATGTAGTTAGTGTTTAAATAATTGCTTACGTGCATGCATGGAGTGTCAGAGAGAGTTGCCTTGCTTTGGTAATTCTGAAGGTGCTGGCCATTTTACTCAGAATCACACTTCTATGCCTTAAGTAGTATTTACTAACGTGGAAGAGCTACAACCAAATAGCTACAGCCCCTCAGGGGCAAATGATGCTACAGTAGCATTAAGATAATCCAAATCTCCCAACGACACCCCAGGCAGGAAGTCAGTTAATAGTTGGAGTAAGGCTTGTATTATGTATTAAGGCTTGTGTTATCTTGACTTCTAATTGCTAAAATTTCTCAAAGAGGGAGGAAAAAGCACTGGACCTCAGGAAAAAAAAAATTACCTTCTCCTCAGATTATATCACAGTTAAGAATAATAATAAAAAGAGATTAACCATCACTATAACAAAAGCTATTTAATACCATTTATAAAACAGTTTTATATACAATTTCTTACTGGATCCTTACAACACCCCTGGGAGGAAGCCACAGAGAGTATTAGTATACTTATCCCCAAGATATACAAAGAGCTGAAAATGAGGTTCTGAGAATGTACTAAATGCCTTGTCCAAGGTTTCACAGCTACTTGATACTCTGCAGAATATACCAGGAAGATACACTGCAGTAAAGATAATTTATCACATCTCCTGGTACAACAATGGGATAGTATTAAAAAAAAATCAGAGGTAAAAGAAAAATGTAAACTTAGATGTAGACTAACCATCCAAGGCACCATTTTAGTAAGGGGGTCATCCACCCAGGGCAGTGAAAGAGAATACTTGAGCCCCAGCTAGGGCATTTTCTATTTTCAAAAAAAAGCTTTGGCTCAAGACTTCATCTAATCCCGTAGGGGTGAGCCCCTTGGGTACCATGACTTGTGAACTCTCAAATTCCTCAAAACACGCTGAGATGTTTTGTCTTCTCTTACATAGACAAAATTTCCCCACTTGTTTTTATGT